AATTATTCTTGAATTACTCTTTTCCAATCACGACAATGTACAATTTCAACATCGGAGTATGTATGAACTTGAGTCAAATTGGATGTATTTATAAGGCAAAGCATTAGTTAAATCAGCTAATTATGGGCATGGATTGAGTACCAAAAGCTTTTAGGCAATTCTGTTTTCGAATTCGTTTAAAACAGTTGAGTCGAGGCTCATTTCATAATCCTTATACCTCTACGCATTTCCTTGGTACCACTAGCCACAATTATAACTTATATTCTTGGCACGTTGGCCGCACTCTTTTTCCCCAATTCACTTATTTAATTTTTAAATATCTTTGTAGATTATCAACAGCAAGATATACTCAATCAAGTCATTAGGTATACATAGGTGCAATTAGTAGTATTAAGCATATCGAGTTTTTCTCACCCAATTGGTATACTAGTTTTCATTCAAAATACGACTTAAAGCCATACCATTTTAATAAGCAATCCATACTTTAAACATCTATCTTTCGATATAAAGCTCGTTCGGAATAATCAAGTTTATAAGTTTAAAGGGGATAACACGGAATGTAGAAATTAGGGAATTGAGCTGATCATACTTAAACTTACATAAACATTAAGGAATTCAATTCCGAGAGAGATAGTTTAGCTAACATACCTTGTTGAGCTTTCCTTCAGTTACTACAACACACTAACACATATAGCAATAATAATCTATAGGAAGATAGTAAAAATCGGTTAATAATTAGAAAGATTCACATGACGTAACTCTCTTAGAAATTTTATCAAACACCTAACATGTGAAATAGAGTACAAGGTTCTATAATGGAAATCCCTTCTCCCCTCAACCAATTTCAGCAAGAAACTGCCCAAAATAATTCATTAATTTCCACATACTATAACTTAGTGCCACATGCATGACCTATTTCTAACCCCCACAATATATTTGGACTTATAATCTTTTTGCATGAAAGCTTAGGAGTATGACTTACCTGGATAGATGATAATCTAGTGGCTAACTTCCTTGATTCTTGAAGACTTGGGCAAGATTGGATTATTAGAATGCTAGGTTCCCTCCTTCTCTCTCTAAAATGCTCCTACCACTCTCTAAACTCTTTAGAAAATCATCCCAGGTGAAGCCCCAAATACTATTTAGCAAGATGGGGTAGGGTTAAAAGATTAAAAAAATGGACCCTCCAACTCGGGTTTGTGATCGCACAAGTGGCTGCACACCACATAATGGTCGCATAATTGGTGCTCAGAACTGGGATATTTCGGGTTGGGTCTGCGGCGTGAAGACCTGCTCTGCGGTCGCAAAATGCACCGCAAACCTGTTCTGCGATCGCATAATACACCGCATAAGGGTCCTCAACTAAGCTTGACTTCTGCTTCACTTTGCGACGGGAGTGCGGTCCGTATATCGATTCTGCGGACGCGAATCAGACCTCAGATTTGCATTCTTCTGCGAAGAAGTTTCCTCAACACCTTACTGCATTCTTTAACCCAAAAGGCTTGCCGCGAAGACAAATTTTTACTATTTCTGAAAACTTTAGCCTAACTCGGCACCACAAAACCTTAAATTACACAGCAAAATTTTTCGGAGCCTTACATAACGTTACAGTGAAATCATCAAGTACACTCACTCTCAGAACACTCATGGTGGCTTGTACAAATGCCCCTCACTATCACACACACAACAACACTTAGCACTACACGGGTGCCTGGTACGAATGTCGCACACCAAAATGCCCGCACGCGCACACATACACACACACACACACACATACACACACGCACATATATATATATATATATATATGTAGGAAGCTCTTAACCAAAAAGTTGAATTACCTAAATGCCTTTCTAAATAATTTAATTTTATTTATACCAAAAATTTTAAGTAAATACCAAATTTATTTGAAGGGATGTGATCTTTCATATTAGTCAATAATGCTTAAAATAGTTTCTACCGGTTCCCATTTGATTTTGTCTTTCAACCGTTTGGCATCTTTTAGAATAGATAGAGAAACAATTGGCTTACTATTCAAATAAAAAAAAGCCTTTGTTCCATAAACTCACACAGATATATTCTAAAGGAATAGAAGACGAAGAGTGTTCTAACTTCTTGATAATAAATAAGTATGTATTTATTTACAGTTAAGCAGAGAGTGACTTAAAAACGCACCCCGATTACTTAGTCTCATCAGCAATTCTATAAAATTCATCATTGAAAGGTATTCTTCTTTTGNGCCCAAGCACTAATCAATAATCAATATAACCGCTGCGGTGTATAACCGGATCCAAATATCGACCCGTTGCAGCGTGCAACCTGATCCAAATATCAATCTATTGTGGCATGCAATCCGATCCAGCATAACTCACAACACAACTATATGGCCCATATCAGTCATCAATCTGCTCAAGTATCAATGGTTAACATGTCACAAAAATATAATCCAATTATACAATACGAAGTATCACAATGCGCCACAAATACAGCTCAAACTCGTGTCACATACAAGGACGCCAATAACATGTGAGACAACATATCAAAAGTGTAAAAAGATAGAGATATAACATGCTGATATAACTATCATGATTGAACAATAGCAAATATCTTAACATGACAAAAATAGCACTATCATATCTCAAACAATTAAGAAAATAGCCTATACGTGATTCTAGCATGAATGATAACTCACGTAGTCATACTAATGAAGAAAATATGATATCAAAGAAGCATGATAGCAAAACAAGGCATATTATAGCCTAAGAACTACCCGAATTATGAATACCCCGGCGCACGCACACACGCACGTCACCTAGCACGTGTTTTACCCCCACAAATCTCCAATATCATAGTTCTCAAGGATAATTACACTCAAATTCAAGTTTAGATATGTTACTTACCTTGAACAAGCCAAAACAATACTCTAAAAATACCATTTTGCACGAATCGACCTCCGAACCGCTCGAATATAGCCAAAAGCAACTCCAAAATATCAAATAATGCCATATGAAACAAATCGAAACGATAAAAGGTCGAATCTTTTATCAAATACTCAAAGTCAACCAAAAGGCAACCCGATCCCACACATTGAAACCCATAACACTAACAAATTCTGACAACCCATTTGAATATCAGTTCAGCCATATTAATTTATCCTCAAATCTAACTCAGAATCGATGTTCAAATCTCAAATATTCACTTTAGAAAAGTTTTGATAAAAAACCCCAATTTTCCTTTTTGATTCATAATCAAAATGCCAAACTCGAAGATGGAACTATGTAAAATAATCAAATCCGAGTCAAAAATATTCACCCCAATCTAAATCATGAAAATCACCTCAAGAATCGCCCAAACACGAGCTCCCAATCTTAAAATGTGATAAAAATAACTCAAAGTCCGAAATGGAGATTATAACACTACTTTAGGAATACCCATCATAATCGCGGGAATATCTTCACGATTGCAAAGCACAAAAGTCACTGCCAAAGAAGAAGCTCCGCACTCACATCACAAGTATCGCGAACACGGCGCACAAATCAGCCAAACCTCCGTGAATGCGGATTCCTAGTAGCGAACCCGTAATGTAAATACATAGCCCATCAAACAACCTTTGGAACGCGGTCCCTCACTCGCGAACGTGAAGAACAAAAATCCTCCAGCTCACATATCTCTTCGTGAATGCGATCACTACTCACAATCGTGATGACTTACCTAACTCCTGCAAACCAACAACACAAATCCATTTAAAAAGATCTGAACCTTACCCGATCCTCTCGGGACCCCGTTCAAACATTCCAACAAGTCCTAAAATATAACACAGACCTACTCGAGGCCTCAAATTTTACAAAATAACATCAAAATCATGAATCACACCTCAATTCAAGCTTCATAAACTATTTCACACTTCTAATTTTCAAACTTATGTCGAAAAAATCTAAACAACTCAGGATCGCCTCAAATTTGCACACAAGTTCCAAATGACATAACGAACCCATTCCAACTCCCTGAACAACAATCTGAACCTGGTAACATCGAAGTTAGCTTCCAGTCAAACTTACGAACTTTCCAAACCTTCGAATTACCAACTTTCGCCAATTAGAGCCAAAACTTTTTAGAAACATTCAAATGCAAATCCGGACATACGCTCAAGTGCATAATCACCATCCGGACCTAACGAAATCATAAAAGTTCCGATCTGAGGTCAAATATACTAAAGTCAAACTTGGTCAACTCTTCCAGCTAAAAGCTTTCTAGTTGAGAATCATTCTTCTAAATCAATCCCGACCTACTCGAAAATCAAAACCGACGATACATGCCAGTCATCTTACACCATATGAAACTACTCATGACCTCAAACCACCAAACTGAATGCAAATGCTCAAAACTACTATTCGGGTCATTACAATAGCATAGTCAAATCAAATTAAAAAGAAAAAGAAGAAGAATAGAGCCCCATTTAGCTTCTATGTATTGGCATTTCGAGTAGCCGAACTACTGTTTGCTACAAACTAAATCATCCCTCTACTTCTTATTCAATGTACGAGGTAGCAGATCGTATATGCGTTAATCTCAATTGTTACGTAGAGTTCCCTTATGGTTGCATCTCATAATCTGAAAACTAGACTTTAAAGTCTAATCCTTTAATACAAGCCAAGTTTGTAATGCATTAGTGCCTTTAATTTACCGGTTGATACTCCGTCGAGTAAACCAGATCATTACAACTTCAAGGCTATGTTTTTGTTAACAGCTTCTCCAAATTAACTTGTAACGTTAGAAAAGTAAATTTTTGACCAGCCATCAATCATCTTAAAGTAAAGGACATAACATATTTTGGTCCTCTTAGGATTTCTTAACAATTACCAAATTCATCAAATACATTTCTAGCAAAATCATTATCAAATCTCTAGATTTTATTGCTCATAATCATACAATTGTGCGCACGATACAGATATATGCAAATCCTTGTTTCCTTTTCTACTATTTTTCAAAATCATAACATGTCATGCAACTTCTCCGAACAATAGCTTGATCATACTTGCAGAGCAGCCACGACTCCTAGTGTTAGCACCACGAGCAAAACGAAAGCATGGAGTCGAGGAAACCACATAATCATCTTCGTGATCATCAAATGACAATCTTGGACTTGAAAATCCAACTTGTCGCGGTGCATATGGAGATGTTGGAACAGAATACAATGTTGATGAGGATGACGGAGATGAATTAGAAATAGTAGGGGATGATAGAAGCCTACTTTTCTTGAGGTTTAATCTAGGAAGGAAAAGAACAGTTTGTAAGAAGTTGGATTTCTTTAGTGTATGTTTTTTCTTATTGACATGAAAAGAAGGTGGAGGAGTGAGTACTGGAGGGAGTGTGATTTCAGAGAAGTTGGATTTGGGAGTTCCTGGTTGAGATTCCCACATGAATGGAACTGTCGCTGATTCATTTCTATAATAAACTTCAAACCTAGAATTGTCCATGGACAACTCCCTGCTTAAACGCCTACAACACAACTTTTCCTTTGACTTCATTTTTATTGCCATTTATTTGTACCTGAACAGCTAGCAAACTTCATGAAGAATTTACGTGAATTATTGCTTATATATAGAGAAGTTGATTCTGAGTAGAAACGCAGTGCTTATATATAGTTGGATTCCCAATAAAAGTTATACCCAACCCCCTACTCAAAGAAAAAACTCCCAACAAACCCAACAATTTATCGTCCTCATACGGCTTTCCTTTTACTTTTTTGTGATACAGCTAATGTACAAAATATAAAAACACTTCAACAAACTGGAGGTTTAAAGTATTTTATAAAGATTGGGAGAGATTACCCAAATAAATACTTCTTTCGGTCCACAATAAGTCACTAATTTACTTTTTTATTTTAATCCAAAATAAGTGTTCATTTATATAATTAAGAAAAGGTTCAATTTGTTTTTTCAAAGTTACTTATGTACGTATCCCTAAAAAGTCATTTACTCTTCACATTTGAAAAGAGAAGTAAGTGCTACTATAACTATGGTGACATTTAATGAATGGTAATTTAGTCACACTAACTATTTTCGTCTAGAATTTACTATTTCCTTAATGTGTGTACCTAAAGCAAATTGGTCATTTATTGTGGACCGGAGAGAGTAAATAATTATTCCCTCCGGTCCATAATAAGTGACCAATTTGCTTTTCTATTTTTGCCCAAAATAAGTGTCCATTTACCTAATCAAGAAAGAATTCAATTTGTTTTTACAAGATTACCCTTATATACATATCTCTAAAAAAATTTCTTACTCCTCACATTTAATATTTAATTAAGGATAGTTTAGTCATACTAGGTATTTTTATATAGAATTTAGTATTTTCTTAATGGACGTGCCAAAAGCAGATTGGTCACTTATTGTAGACCGGAGGGAGTAAATAGTACCCCTTCTGTTCCAGTTTATATGAACTTATTTCTTTTTTGGTCAGTTCCAAAACGAATGATCTCTTTCTAAATTTGGAAACAATTTAGCTTCAACAATCAATTCCACCTTTAATGAGAAGCATTTATAACCATACAAAAAATCTGGACCTCTTTTTGATTTGTTTAGGACCACACATTTCAAAAGTCTTTATTTTTTCTTAAACTTCGTGTCCAGTCAAACAGGTTCACATAAATTGAAACGGAGAGAGTAATATCCAACAAGACTTGCCATTTTTATCAAACCACAATAGCTTACATGATTAATGAAAAAGTAATGTGAAAGCATATATTAATTAACTACAATTTTTTATTAGAAATTTATATGAGCTTATTTCATGCACTTATTAAAATGATATAAACATCAGATCCGAATTTCTCGTCCAATTATTTTGGTGCGGATAAGTATTTAGGGAGGTCAACTCTACACTATCTTAATAAACTATCACGTGACATCCACATCTCATGACATACAGTACTACTTAAAATTTCAAAAGTTGAACTTTACCGTCGTTGACTATTCAGGGTTCGTTTGGTACGAGGTATAAGAAGGTTCATGGGTGGTACAAAAATTTTGTACCATCTTAATACTTTGTTTGGTTAGCAAACTAGGTATAAGTTATTCCGATGTTAATTTTAATATCGGGATAACTTATACATTATAGAGGGTGGGGTAATTAGCACCGGTATAACTTATACATTTTTCTTAGAGTAATTGTCATTCTTAATACAACATATCAAACAGTGAATAAACAATAATCCCAACATAACTAATCCCAGCATAACTTATCCAAACATGACTTACATCGACATAACTTATACCGACATAAGCCGTATTCCAACCAAATGACCCCTTAAGGTTTTCGACCACTACTTACACCAATATGGAAGCTACTAACAAGGGCCTATGACTGCGGAGATGGAAACCGATTTTAATGGTAGACCACCTGCAGCTCTCATGTGCCACATGCTAATCGAAATCACTATTTAATTTGGCCTGAATAATTAAACTTTTTAAAATTGCAGGAGTGTATCTGTATCTTCTGTGCATTATTTATTAGAGTGCAGATTGACTTAGTAAAATGTCACTAGAGATTATATTTTTTTAGATTAGGAGTGACAAACGGGCGGGTCGGGACGAATATGGTTTGGCTTGAAAACGAATAATGAAAAAACGGATAAATTATCCGAATCGACCCATATTTAATACGAATAAAAATCCGGTTAACCAGCGGAAAATATGAGTAACTATATGCGGTAAAACCGGGGGCCCGATTTCCCCGTCATTAGGTCACCTCGCGGGCATACTTCTCGAGGTTCGAAACCGAGATCGAGACCCACCCTCGGGAGCCGTCGGGTACCGGCCCCNGGGGGACATTGCATACTAACGGCTATAATAAGGGAGAGAGGAGTTCCCAAGGCAAGCAACTGATATTGGCAGAGCCTAATGCTATCTGGTTGTCCCATCCCTCTACCTTTATGATGAATGTATTTTGTACTATGTTCAGATTTCCCCTCCTATATAAGGAGGATCCTTGGCACTTTGTAAACCATGTTGCTCCAACTATTCTACAAGAAATATACAACAACTCTCTCTTTTCTCTCTAACATATTCCCTCGATATTGTTGCTCTTATTTACTACTTCCATACTTGTTCTTCGTTTATTGTTTATTATTGGCCATAAAGAGCCTCCTTTAATTATATCCAACTGTTAGCCCCTTCCCGATTATCCCCGATAGCTCGAGCCCGAGCCCAGGCATAGACCTCGAGGCCTCTCGTCGGTTAGTCCGAGGCCCGAATAGCTAACCCCTTTGTTTGATTACACCTCTATTTTAGCTCGCATTTCATCTTTTATCTTCGCATATCTAGCATCAACTGCTTAAACAACTAGCATAAAAATAGATCACGTATATTTAGAGTCCCATCAACAATTTAATTGTTATTACCATTTTCACGGTAAACAGTTTGGTGCCCACCGTGGGGCTAAGAGTAATAGTGATTATTTTCTTGCTGGTTTTATTACAGAACGCAAGTTGCCTTTAACACTTTTTCTTGTCCAAGATCTTTGATTTCAGGACAAAATATCCAGCTCGGTGAACAGAATGGAGAGAAACAACCTCGAAAATCGCAAAGAAGAGGACATGAATACTCCATATGTCGGTACACCACCACAAAACTCAACCCGGGCGGAAGGGGAGACTCTCTGACACGACGTCCACATGATTATTGGAGGAACCAACGTCCCCCAAGGACCCATGTTCAAAAGGACGAGAAAGTCCACCAAGGAAGAGGGACCGACCCGAAACCGCGTGCCCAAAGACACTCTAACGTTCAGCAAGGAGGACCTCGAGGCCATGATAGAACCACACAACGACGCACTCGTTATCTCATTTCTTTTAGATAATACCAGGATAAAGCGCATGCTCGTGGATCCAGTCGGCTCGGCTAACATAATTAGATCAGAGGTAGTAGGACAACTGGGGTCGCTCGATCGAGTCACCCCCATCCCTCGAGTCCTCCATGGCTTCAACATGACCGGCGAAGTAATGAAATGAGAGATCACCCTCCCGATCGATAGGCCCGGCGTGATTCAAAACACCGAGTTCCAAGTCATCAACGGCGACATGAGGTACAATGCATTGCTCTGTCAGCCTTGGATACACAGCATGAGGGCAGTACTGTCAACCTTACACCAAATAATAAAGTTTCCCACGAAGGACGGCATAACGACCATACATGGAGAACAGCGGGCAGCGAAAGAAATGTTTGCGGTCCACCATAAGGCGTTGATCCCCACACACTCGATCTCAGACGAGGTTAGGAACACACAGACCCCCGAGGACGACGAAGAGGATTTCTTCGCTCCTCGAACCTTCATCGCCCCCGAAGAATAGGACATGACTAAATCGACAGTCAAAGAACTGGAACGGACCATTTTAATCGAACACCTCCCGGATCATAAGTTATATCTGGGAACTGGGTTAACCCTCGAACTTGGGAAAAGGTTCATTCAATTTCTTAGTAACAATATCGACTATTTCGCTTGGTCCCACTTAGATATGACAGGAATTCCGCCAGAAATAACCTCCCACAAGCTGAGCGTCGACCCCAAATTTAAACCCGTAAAGTAGAAGGGAAGACCACAGTCCGAGGTAAAACATGCTTTCATCAAAGAAGAGGTAACGAAACTTCTTAAAATAGGATCCATTAGACAGGTAAAGTACCCCGAATGGCTGGAAAACATAGTAGTAGTGCCTAAAAAGCAAAACAAGCAAAGAATGTGCGTAGATTATAAAAACCTGAATAAGGCGTGCCCCAAGGATTCCTTCGTATTGCCTAATATCGATCGTCTGATCGATGCTACGGCCGGCCACGATACCCTCACCTTCCTCGACGCCTACTCGGGGTATAATCAAATCCAGATGAACCCTGAGGACAAGGAAAAAACCTCGTTCATCACATAGTATGCTACCTACTGCTACAACGTATTGCCCTTCGGGCTAAAAAATGCAGGGGCAACGTACCAGAGCCTAGTTAATAAAATGTTCAAGCATCAAGTAGGTAAATCAATTGAGATATATATTGATGATATGCTAATTAAGTCCCTGCGCACAGAAGACCATTTGACTCATTTGCAGGAAACTTTCGACATCCTCAGAAGTTATAACATAAAGCTCAACCCCGAGAAGTGCGCCTTCGGAATGGGGTCGGGCAAATTCCTGGGCTTCATGGTATCAAACAGGGGGATATAGATCAATCCCGGCAATAAAGGCCATTGAAGAAATCACAATGGTAAACAATGTAAAAGGCGTAAAATGGCTAACAGGGCGGATAGAGGCCCTAGGTAGATTCATATCAAGGTCATCGGAAAAGAGGCATCATTTCTTCTCTTTACTCAAAAGAAAGAGCAACTTCGAATGTACTCCAGAATGCCAAACATGCCTTAGAGGAACTAAAACGATACTTGACTAGTCCACCTTTATTGCATACGCTAAAGGAGGATGAAACACTATACCTGTACCTGGCCATTTATGAAATAGCGGTAAGCGGCGTGCTGGCTCAAGAGGATAAAGGTACATAATTTC